ATAGATTTTTTTTCCAAAACTTAAAATACTATCAACATACTTTCAACCGCGTCAAACGCTTAACGATGTTTGTACATTTGCAAATATGTAGTTTACAGTGTTAGTGATGGCCTTCAACATGAGAAGGCCATGATTATGGAATGCACAAAGGATAATACACCAACTAATACCCAAGAGCAAAGGTAACAAGAAAATTTAATAACTACCACTATTATTAAAATAAACAATACCTAAATTTGAATATAAATTGAGGAACTGTTAATTAATGCATCATGAAGTAATATCTAGGCTCCAAACGTGTTATTACTTAAGCTGAATAAACAATGGATATTAGTGAGTTCCCAGAGAGTAATTGAGTTTACAGCACTCGTGGGACCTTTAACATTCATAAACAGCAGCGTGGCTTGACTTGGTAATAGGAAATGGCTGTTGTAAGACCTTCTAGAGACCATTTTAAAATCAATTCTTCGTACGTACATTATATTTACCTTCGATCCTATTGTATACAGCCAGAAAAAGTATGACGTCAAGAATATCTCTTGTGATCTCCTGATATAAGTAATTGTTCATATTCTGCTAAAGAAACTAACCCGGTAATTGAAAGTACATTTGGATTGTAAATAATTCTCTGTACTGTTGTTCTCTGTAAGAAAGCACAAAAGTGAATATAGCTAAGCACATCCAAGACCCGATAGAGTTGTATTGTTCATAAATATTAACGACAAAGTAAAATATAATTTGTTTTTTATAATTTACTGAATTAAATATTATTTAAATATATCCCATAAGACATGTACCTCGTAGCATTTATAATTTATAGTTTAATTATATGTTTAGGTATAGTTGTTATTTGTTAAAAAATTACGAAATAAAAAGTAAAAAAATATCTGGTAACGCTTTTAGCGAATTTCCCTATAGGGAAGTAGCTATTACCGTAGGTGGCATGGTAAGACCTAGGCCCGGGACCGATTTACTTTTTCATTTTGATGTCCCCAGAGGCCAAAAACACCATTCGTTCAAATTTTTATATATGTATATATATATATATATATATATATAGATTTATATATATATATACGTCCGTGAACGCGATAACTTGAGTAATTTTGGTCCGATTTTGATGAAATTCGGTTTAAATGTGTAAAGCGGGATAAACTTGAATGAGTTCGCGAACCAGCATGATCGGACCATGGGAACGGGGCTTTACGGGGGGTTTTATGGGGTAAAAATTGGTTTTTCTCACTTTTGACCCTCAAAACACAAAATTTCCCAATTTCTCTTTAGACCTTTTTAAAGAGCTTAAAAAAACAAATAATTTAGTATATAAAAGTATTTTTGTTCGGTTATTAGTAACGGAGAAAATTTTAAAAGTTGTAAATTTAAAATTCCCATGTTATTCTTATGGAGAATATTGTCAAAAGTTGTAGTTTGCTTGTTTATGGATATATTTTGATTAAACTTGGCAAATTTATTTATTTTGTACTAAGCTATCAATATTTTACTCAAAAAAACACTTTATTAGTTTCCTTGTAGCAGCAAACCTAGGTACTCGTTAAACCTAATGTTATTAAAATATATTTAACTGAAAATCAATTCAGACAAATGGAAATTCGCTTAGTCGGCAGGTTTGCTGCGGCGGGGGTATTTTATTATTTAGTCATGAACATTAAATTATATTTTAACTAAAGGAAGTAATTTTATGTTATCCTGGAGAATTGTGCTATGAAATAATGTTGGCAATTGGATGTAAGTTGAATAGTCAATACGAGCTGTTCTAGTATTTTATCATGATATAAAAAACCCCTAAATTTCTTTAACAGTATTGAGGCAACGAACTATCCAGGAAACGCAATATCCAACAAACCTTTAAATATCTTGTAATTTACTTATTAGGGCCTTTGTTATAATTATACGTGAATATATTTTATTTACCCCTGCAAATAAGTTTTAACTGATAAAACTAATGATCCATTGCCAGTTCAGCAATAAGTAAATAGTTGAACTGTGTGTATACAGATCTATTTTTAAATGTTGTACTTTACTATTTTGTTGTTGATGATATATAATGGATTTCGATGCTCGGTTTTCATTGGCAAAACTCATTTTCAACCACACGAAAAATGTGGGTGTATTGGTTGTAAACCTGAACGTTATGAAAAAAGAGCCTCTGCTAATCCTGGTCAAATATCGCCGAAATAAAGATAAAGTTACGACCATTTGTCCACACAGCTAAATGACTCTGGCTATCTCGGACCATTAATTTCAACTTGAACCGGTGTTATGTTCAGACAGGTTTTTTTGCTTATGGGATTTTTTTATTCATTGGTGAATATTATTAAATTTTACATGAATATAGAACAAAACTATTAAGATTTAACTTTTAATATGAAACAAAAAGTTTATTTTTGCCAAAAGTAATAAATTATATTAAAATTAGTTTGATAATCAAATAGTAGGCCTCTATTACTTTATACATTGCAAAAAAAGCTTAAAATAGTGTAAACGAAATCGACGCGTTATTATTTATTACGCTTTTTCAATGTGTAAAATATTCTACACATTGAAAAAGTACAAGATTATGGTTGTTCTTTTGATCGTATGACGAATACCCAGCAACAATCTCTTAAAAGTAAGGTTCTGAGCCTTTTGCCATGTTATCTTACTTTTAACACTTAATTCTTACAAAGACTTCAAAGGAACATAATTCCTTTCCCTCAGCCACTGCCTTAGGTCTTAAGAAAGCTTTCCCCATTTCTTGAAACATACAACAAATATTTATCGTTTATTTAATACAGCAGTACTAACTGAGAAATTTTTATTATATCTTTAAATAAAAATATTTTTTATCATAATAAATATGATTTAACATATTTAATCCATCCGTCACAAACAAAGGTTAAAACGTACACTTAATTAACTAACGCTACATAGCAAAGTGTAATGAGTACTATATCAAGTAAGGAATAAAAAACAGCGACATAAATCATTGGAGAAGCCCTAATCATATACCAATTAGTTTATCGAGGCGTAGATCAGTACAAAAATAAATATCTGGTTTAAAAGTTATTTTTTTATTATTTCCTAATATTACTGAACATCAAAGATAGATAAGAAGTTGTTAGTAATTTACGATCACAAGCAAAGTTCCATCTCCTTTGCTCAAAAAATGATAACCAAACCAATTTAATGTATTAATCTTAAATATTGCAAATATCCAATACTGAATGGGTTGTACATGCATGAAACGAGTTTCCAAAACATCGTTGAAATACCTGCTTTAATTTCAAGACTTGTTATTTTTTAATGACTTCTTGATCAGGATCGAACGTCTTATTAAAATACATGAAAAAACTAAATTATATACGTATAATAACACTTTTATAAATATATTTACACTTATAATGTTGACTCGCAAGGCGGTAAATACATATAAAAGGTGGTAAGTCGTGATCGATTTCGATTGGACAGTCCAATCATCATCAGCAAAATGGCAATCAAATTAATCAAAATATTACGGATGCCATTTTGATTCTTGTCATTCGCCTATTACATTAACATTTGTGGTTTTATAGCAGTAGAAAATTACAAATACCAGTAAATATATAGTATAGATTAAATTTAATCAGTTTTCCAAAGTTGTATTAATAAAAAGTGTTTTTAATTGGCTACAACATTTATTTATATTTTAGAAAAAGTTAAATGACCATTTATAGATTTTCAAAAAGAACCAATTCTTACAAAAGTGTAAAGGTTTATTTCAGAGTTAAAGAATCAGAAGATTTTCTGATTCTGATTCTGAGTTAATCACGCACATTCTTCACCAATATTCAATCTCTTTGCTAAAGGGAGAACTCTTTCCACACCAGTAATGTAACTAAGTTGCGTGATCTTCTATTTCCTTCAATACATCACTAATTAGTACAGCTAATACATAATATACATCCGTATAAATGATTTAAATTGAGCTTGTTTTTAGAGTTTTATTTATTTATTTTTTTTATTATAATTAATTTTATCTTACGTGAATGTTTTTAACCTTAACTACCTAACTAACAACAAACAAATTTTTTATATATTTCATTTAAACATAATGGATTCATGGGGGTTTCATTTTAAGATAACAAGTAATACACATTCCAAATTCGAAATACTGTTTGTACAGTTGTTTATTGAATAATATAATAAAAACATGGTTGATGGCTGCGTGAACCTTAAAAAAGAACTAGTTTCTGAAATTCAAATATTTTTTCCACCGTATTTTTGTAACACGAGTTTAACAAACATAAAATCATGTAACAAATTATTTTCGGAATCACTAATGATTTATATTATTATATAAATATATATTTAAATGCGAATTAAAGTAAGTTTTAACAAAAATACATGATCCAATACAATATCCAAGGCCCTCCAGTTTTAGGTTGAAGTAATCAGAGTTATCGGATTGAACCCCTAAGCCTTACTCCTTAATCTCCCTAATCTCATAAACATTTACTATTGAATGGCACGAGACTGCAAATACAGTTTGATATTTTGTACTGAAGTAGTTATTCCTGACCATTGAAGACAAGATCAAGAGTTCAGACGAAATTGACCATTTAATTTTGACATCATGATCCCAATCGTCTATTGGTGGTGGTACCCATTAACCTTGCAAAGAACAAAACAAAAAAGCTAGAGATCAAATATCAATACCATAAAATGAAACGATAAACACGTGTTTTATTACAGTCCTTTTGGATTAAGACCTTTATGATGGAGAACACTAAATTTCTAAACGGTGTCAGGAAGAGGAGTCTCTTCAAAATTTAAACAAAATGTATTTAGCTTGATCTTCCATAATACCAAAAAGAACGAAAGACAATTTAATGGAATCGTGTTGCTAAGTGATATTAAAAACATAAAAATTTAAAAAAAGATGTCATACGGCGTTGAAAGTAGGTAGTAAAAGAAAGACGGGAAAAACAGTGACATGGTACATAAAGTAATCAGCAACTGCGATGGAAAAGGGGGTGGTGACGGCAATTGCCCAAGTGGTGAGATACGACAAAGTTGTGGACCCAGGAGAAGGAAGCTGTGACGACGGTGAAAAAGGATGCAACGACGACGGTGAAGAAGGATGCAACGACGAAGGTGAAGAATTATGCAACGATGACGCTGAAGAAGTATGCTGCAGCGATGGTGAAGAAGGGTGCTGTGACGACTGTGGAGAAGGGTGCTGTGACGACTGTGAAGAAGAATGCTGCGACGATGGTGAGGAAGAATGCTGTGACGACGGTGAAGAAAGATGCAATGACGACGGTGAAGAAAGATGCAATGACGATGGTGAAGAAGGATGCTGTGACGACGGTAAAGAAAAATGCAATGACGACGGTGAAGAAGGATGCTGTGACGACGGTGAAAAAGGATGCAACGACGACGGTGAAGAAGGATGCAACGACGAAGGTGAAGAATTATGCAACGATGACGCTGAAGAAGTATGCTGCAGCGATGGTGAAGAAGGGTGCTGTGACGACTGTGGAGAAGGGTGCTGTGACGACTGTGAAGAAGAATGCTGCGACGATGGTGAGGAGTGTGACGACGGCGAAGAGGATGCTGTTACTACGGTGAAGAAGGATGCAATGACGACGGTGAAGAAGGATGCTGTGACGACGGTGAAGAAGGATGCTGTGACGACGGCGAAGAGGATGCTGTGACGATGGTGAAGAAGGATGCTGTGACGACGGTGAAGAAGGATGCTGTGACGACGGTGAAGAAGGATGCTGTTGCGACGGTGAAGAAGGATGCAATGACGATGGTGAAGAAGAATGCTGTGACGATGGTGAAGAAAGATGCAATGATGACGGTGAAGAAAGATGCAATGACGACGGTGAAGAAGGATGCTGTGACGACGGTAAAGAAAGATGCAATGACGACGGTGAAGAAGGATGCTGTGACGACGGTGAAGAAGGATGCTGTGACGACGGTGAAGAAGGATGCTGTGACGACGGCGAAGAGGATGCTGTGACGACGGTGAAGAAGGATGCTGTGACGACGGTGAAGAAAGATGCTGTGACGACGGTGAAGAAGAATGCTGTGACGACGGTGAAGAAGGATGCTGTGACGACGGTGAAGAAGGATGCAATGACGACGGTGAAGAAGAATGCTGTGACGACGGTGAAGAAGGATGCTGTGACGACGGTGAAGATGGATGCTGCGACGACGTTGAAAAAGGATGCTGCGCGATGTTGAAGAAGGATGCTGCGACGACGGTGAAGAAGGATGATTTGACGATGGTTTCCCCTACCGTGGGCTATAGTGGGAAAATAAATGATTTCATAAATGTTATTAGTGTTTTGTTTTATATATTTACATAATAGCAGTAGTGTGTATATATAATAAATGAAAAAAAATCTGATAACTTTGCTTTTTAATCGTTTGAAGATAGCTTGTCAAATATATAAATTTTATTAAAGACTTGTTCAGATGTTGTACGATTATCACTATAACTCGTAAAAATAACGCTAGGAAACTGTTTTAAAGAGGTTATTACATTTTAAACTTTTTATTTTTACTTTTTTTTATTGTTGTTAGATATTTTATATAAAAAATACACTAGAAAATTAGGAAAAAATACTCAACTTAGTCTATGTTGGTAAAAAAAGACCATATATTGTGCAATGGATAAATAATATTATCATTCAAAACCACTACTTAAATTTAATTTCAGAACATAATTTGATACAAAGTGTTAGTGCTACCACATTTTGTTTCAAATTTAACTACAAATTGCATCCATTAAATTATGGCTATATATGGTACAAATTACAATACAATTAATTTTCTTTGAATCTGCCGACAATTATTACGTTATAACGATTTCAAATCGCTTGAAATAATAATGGCTATTTCATTATTTAAATAATAATCTACACTGTAGAGCCTAATAAACGATTAAGTGTTAGAGTTTACCTGTAACTCGTTATTAGCAGTATTTTACGATGACCTTATCATTCAAAAACCTATTAAATATCTTTAAAACCACTTCGTTAATAAATATCTACAAATTAGACGAATAAATATTAGTCGTTTACCTTTAGCTCAGCTGTAGACTATGTCTCTAGAGAAATCAACTTGTCCCATGGTACAGATTCATCATAAACTTGATGCGAACATTTATACCTTTGAATTAAATATAAACTAGGCCTAATACTATAAAACGTTGATCAAAATGTGCCTTTGTCAATTATTTAGTCTCACAATGAGGCACTTCACATTATATTTTATTTCAAAATGCAATCGTTATATATTTTGATATAAACAAGTTTGGGAGGTTTTGGCATATTTCACGATGCACAGTTAAAATTTATTGATTAAAATTAGAAGTAAACTGAAATGATAGAGTCTACTAAGAAAGGTTGTACTTTAGATGAAAAGAGTATAGCAATACCAGGAAGAGACCAGACCTTTTTGCAACAATAAAACTTAAAAAATATTTTCTGGTGTTTGAACTTGCAAATTACTGTATATACATATAAATGTATTCACAAATACACATTGAATTGCTTTATTATGAATCTAAAATGTAATAGTGTTTATAAAGTTTTATATGACGCAAATTAGGCCATTTGTAGACGGCCTCCTAGTGTGGGAATGGCCACATAACCATTACATGGCAATCTGCAGTCAGCGTGGGGTACAATTACGATTACTTGGGGTAAGATTTTTTAAAGATTGTTTTGTGAAATGTTGCCAATATGTATTGATTTATTTTTATTCTCTGAATCATTTGGAATGTAGACCAACAACTAGAAGATCTTCTCTTAAGAAAGTCAAGGTATAGCCACATAGCTTGCTCTTGGTGATTGACAGAATTTAACCAGACCTGGGTCTGTATATATCAGTTTATGCAGTCTGCTTGAGATCTGCTGTTATACTCACGACTGATAAAAGTTTTAATATATTTCTTGAAATATAACGATAAATTATCCTAACAGAAACAGCTGGGATGAAGTTTTGTAAAACATGTGTAGTTTTTTTATAATTTGATTTGGAAGAAGTTTCAATGAAACGTACATTATAAAATCGTATCCTCCAAAAACGTAATACATAAACTATTACGTGCCATTATATGATCCCGTCTCAATACCATTGACAATTGTTACTTTTTATTGGTTTTATTGTTATAAAATGATTAAGTATTTAGTATTCTACTATTTAGTATGCACAATCAATAATCAAATAAATTAAGGTAATTTGGTGTTGCCTTGTCTAAGATTAATTTTACTTGCCATAGTACAACTTACTCTTCTAAAACTGTAAAAGGCTGTTGACTATATTCAAATCAATTTTCTTTCTAGGATGCTAAGCACGATCCCGGACACGTTTTTCTCATTACTTTAGGTTACACCTAGGGGTTGCAGCATTATCACATGTACAAAATCCGGGACCTCTGGAATGCAAGTCCCGCGCTCTAGCCACTAGACCAGCTCGCTCCCCTCACAGATTTACAAGTAGCTGTACCTCTAATAAAATATTAGTTTGACAATTATTGATGCTAGAAAACCTGATAAGGTGTTTTTTTCCTTTTTGAAAACCTTAGGCATAGCTCATTTGTTATACAAGTAATGGCATTATTCACCGACGACTTTTTTTTTCATATTACCAAGTCCAGCCAAGATCCGGTTTATGAATGTTAAAAGTCCCGCGGGAGCTGTGAACTCAATCACTCTCAGGAAACACACTAAATGTGTTTAATCAGCCGAAGTAATTATACCTTGTAAGCCTAGACATCTCTTATATGGTAATAAACTTACAAAAGGATACTGTTTTTAATTTCAATCAGTGTAAAACAAGTTGCATGGTGCTGAAATCTTTATTAATTTAGGTGATTTTCTATTATCAATAAATACATGTAATCATTTTGTGTGTATTAAACAATAGTATTTTTTTTATTCTATTGATATATTAAACTTATATAAGCAGTATACATGTTGTTTAACATAGCGATGCTAATAATAGCTTGCCAACATAAATTTTCTGAGATTAGATAGGTGTACTTTGTTGGACATTTTTCGTTAGGTTACCATACAATTTTTATATTAGTTAATAGTCTATACCAATGTAAATGTGTTGATAAAAATATACAAGTCTCTACACTGATTATAATATTATGTTTTAAGGAAAATGTTACAGTAAATTTAAATAAACTTAAATGTTTTGTAAAAAATCTAATTATCTTTTAAAAGCATGACGTAATATCAATTCACCTATAGTTACTGATTTTCATTAATTTCAATCAATATTTGATGGCCGAAAGGTTGGGTTATGCACGTCCTTGGTTCTTTGTAATTAACAGATAAAAAATTAAAGTAGTTTTTAGTGTATCCATTTTTAGAAAACTAGGGAGTAATTTTTAATCAAAAATTGGATTTAAATGAGGTGCTAACTCTATTGTTTAAGTGGAAGAGAGTGAATTAGTGTCATCCTAATTTACTGAGATGACCTTACTTTTGTTAGCACGGATTATTTTGGTAGGTTGAAACTGATTAGTAGTTAGGCCTAAGGCCTTCCTCCTTGGTTTACCACAATCAAGATGACTTAGGTGAGGAAATTAATCGTTGTATATTACGTAAGCCTTCTGAACTTTTTACTCATAATGCTATGCAAATATATGATTCATAGTATGTTACTTATATTTGTCATGTTGATATTTTATATTTCAGTGTATCTTATAGTAATACGTGTAAAATATAATAAATTAATAATTGTTCTGTATATTATAGTATAAATAATAATACATTTTGCAAAGGAATGACTTAAAATTTCCATATGATACAAAAAAGATCTTCTTAATCAAAATATGAAAAGGTTAAAAATTAACACTATAAATGAATGAACAGTAGCATTGTTGTTATTTTAATAAACCAACATTAATATGATTATAATTGTTTATAAGAATTTAGTGTATTTAATAAAAAAATACTGAAAACAGATTAATGATAAAAACTTGTTTATTAATAATCTAGTTTTTAGAATTAAATTTTGATTAACTGTTATCTAGGTTTTTTTTTAAAAAAAAAACCCTTAATAAATCACATTACTATATACGAATAAATCCCTGTATACCACTGGTATCATTATTAGAAAAATAATCCCCATTTAGTCAAATATAAAGCCTAACACTTATGGCAAATATTATTTTAGATTTGTGATATGTGCTCATTTATCAAAATTTTAGTCACATATAACTGTTGTATCACACATTAGTACAAACTTCAACAGGAACACGTAAGGGTTGAAGCTGGTTATAATCGTATAATTACGTCAATTTTAAGGGGTTTTCGGCTGCACGTGCAACACATTTCAATTGTAGGAATACTTCGTTTGGAGTGTATAAATTAGGCTAACTTATCATAATCGTGAAACTTGTTTTACATAAATGATACTGTTAACAGTAAAAGAAAAAAAATACCAAATTATAAGTTTATAAAATTAAAACTTTTAGTCAAAATCTACATGGTAACCAATAAATAATTGGGTAAAAAATAAAGATTTATTAAGATAAAATGTTCAGCTAAGTAGTCAAACAAATAGACACCATATTGTATCAGAGATTGAAGACTGAGGATGGATTCTTGACCCAGCATAATTATGCGACTGGGAAAACAAGATTGCCAAAAACAGATTTGTTTGCCTAAATCCGTTCTGCGTCTGA